CCTTCCGATCTCCAGTAGTCTTTAAGCTAAAGGTAGGGTAATGCTGATTTATTTTCAATAATAAATTATGTAATTCTACTATCTCTGTCTGGATGTAACTTTGGGTCCAAAGAGTTTCTGCATTAAGAGCATTAAGGGCTGGTTATACTCCCGCAGCAGTGTGTCGCAGTCAGCTTGTCGCAGATATTTTTGACTTATGCCCAATTTTGAAGCTTGGTCTGAGCTATGTTATCCCACACCACAACGCAAGAGGGACAATCATGAACTAGCTTTGGGTCTAGATAAACCTTTTTCTAGATTAGATGTGTAGCAACACAACTTGGATTAAAGAACCAGCATAACAGGTTCTTCTGCTGGCATGTTACTTTCTGGAAAAGGTATTACATTCCTTGAGTTAGCCTATTTAAGAGCGATCTGATGGCTGTAAGGTAGAACCTTCGTCAGGATGGCTTCACTTGTACTGCTGCTGCTTCTGCTGGTCCTGGTTCCATCTGCACATTTGTACCGTTTCGCAATGTACTACGGAGGTTCGGTGACCTTCTCTCCAAAGCAAGGGACAAATGGGAAATTAGAGGTGTGTGATTTATTCATTTATTTATTTAAAAAAAATAGTTTAATTAAATTTCAGTAAAATGCTTTGAAGTTAAGGGTGACCTGTTTGGCATACCTGCCTTAAAATTATTGGTCAACATGTTTTCCTTTAAACTTCTGGTCATCATTTTTATTTATAAAATCAAAAAGATGAGAAAATGGTAGGTTCCAAAAAAATTTTAAATAAACTCTTGGTCAACACAGAGACTTAACATTGCATACCTGACCTTCTCTGCATTCTTACAATTCTTAAATAATATGGTGACTTTATTCCCTGTTCTTTAACTATGTAATGAAAAAATAAGCATAAACACATCTTCTATTCTTTTCCTTTTCCCTTTAACATTTTGTGCAATGAAAAAAAACTTATAACTTATATATAAAAGATAAAAAATGTATATATAAAAAGACATACTTCAGAAAACCAAAATCAGCAGCTCCTGTTTAATTTTTTGTTTTAAATGTTATTTTTTTTTAGGCAAATTTCTATTTGAGACAAACCGTGTTTCGGAATTTTAATGATAATCCTATATGCAAAACTGGTAACTGTGGGACCCAGACTAAGAGATCCCTTGCAATATCTGCAACAACATCTGATAATATCACCTGGACGCAGTATGCAGAAGCAACTACAAGACGGTTCAACACTGACCTTCCATTTGAGATGAGGTAAGCTACATTACAATTTTAAAATAATTTGAACAACTCAAAGAATAGATGCATTAGTCTAGTTACTCTAGACAGTATATTTAAAGAATATTTTATTACAAAAATGAAAATACTTCTCAGTTTTATTGATAGCCTCCTGAAATTCAAAGGCTGGTAACAAGAGAGTTTTATTTCTTATTGTCATTTGAAATCTGAATTAACTTTGTTTGCCAAATTGGCGCAGAAAAAGGGAATGTGGTTCAACTTTGTTCTTTAAGAAGACATTTTAGTATAAATGAGAAATGAAATTCAAGCCGGCCACAACCAAACTTGAGAACCTTCCGCCATATCAATCCTGCCCCCTTGATAAACGACCAATCACATTCACTTTATTCACTTGTGTAAATTTGGGCACCACTCGGGAGCATTGCAACGGTTGTAACAGCCGTTTCCCTACAACTTTAATGAAAAACTGGGCGGAGCTAGGCAGGTGGATGAAATGAACCAATAATCCAGCCATCAGTGCCAAGAACGTGAAAGTTTCCTTCAGCTTTCAATACCACCAGAAGCTAGATGTAAGGTCTCCCCACAGTGGAGATGCTAGTAACTGATTAACTCAATGTTTCAAACATGTTCATTAATGAAATGATAATTTCACAAATTTTGTTGACTCTCTGTTAGTTTTCTTCATTTGGAAATGCAAAACAAAGCATAACTAAAACATTGAGAATGTTTTAAATTTAATACTTAAAGTATTACAGAGATGCTGAACTGGTATTTTTTTAACTCCAAAGGGGCAACTTATCCTGGGGAATACAAAAAGTAAATTGAAAAATAAAATTTCTAATAATAAAACAAAGTATGTCATTTTAGCCTAGATCAGTCAGAAAATGCTAATGAAAATTGTTCAAATGTAATTAGAGTTTTACTCTGTCATTGTAACTTTTTAATTCCTCTTTCGAGGAGCTCTGTTTAGTAACTTCCTTTTACATTTTAACAGGCAGTATTAATAATAACTGTCTTTGTCTTTATTTTGGAACAATCTTACCAACCAGTCTCCCTAACTTTGTCCACTGGTGGCATGGAGCTGGTTACTGGGAGGAAAACATATATGGCAGCTGGTTAAGATGGGTGAATTTGATACATGTGGACCTGGGAAACCGATCCGATACCAGTAATCCGAACAATTCTCCTGTTTTCACCACACCTCCCGTTCTCAGGTAATTCAATCATTTCCTCCTCAGCACTTAATCTCTGCATTGGGTAGCAAGTAGTTACATTTTATGGAAGCCCATTTCTGCCACTCTGTAAAAAAAAGAGAAAAAAATGTATCTCATTATAATGAGATA